TTCATGTTCATTTTACAGAAAAAAAATGTTTTTTTTCTTTAATTTATAACATTTTCTTCTACAGTAAAACTTTGACTCCAGCACAATTTTTAACTGGAAAATCACAATAACAAAACTTTCAAAAGAAAATGTTTTACGTGTAATTTTACCGTACAAATCTGGCAACCACAGCTGCCAGCGTTTTACTGTAAAATTTACCGTACATAAAAATGCTTTGCAGTTTCCCTTTTTTATTGGTTAAAATTATTTAGAAAACTTCCCTGTAAATATTATTGTGAAACATTTCCAACTATTACCGAAAGTTATTTTTATCATTCTATTTTGCAGCTTAATACGCAAATCATTAATTTATTAAAATTCCTATAAATGTTTTCAGTCAAGTTTATTTCCAATTCATAATTAAAACAACTACTGTTGACCAAAATGATGTGTATAAAATAAAAATAAATACTTAAAGGGATCGTTTGGATATTTAAAGTTGGGTTTTGATGAAAAAGTATTAATATTTAACATCTTACCTGCTGTACATGTCTCTTTGAATGGTTAGTTTGGATAAATAATTGGATTTTTAGTAGATTTCTGCACTTTGTGTTTGTCCAAATGGGACTGAAACTAAAGTTCCCTGCTGCTGTATTAAAACAAGTTTGATAGTTATTTTACAAAGCTTTACAGCATTAAAATTCACCTTACATGGTTATTTGGATACAATTCAGTGATTATTTATGAACACTAAAAGCAGCAGCAGATAACTGGAGCACTTAGCAGAAGCACTTCCAGATGTCATTTCATAAAGTTTCTGCTGGAATAAATGTGTAACGTGAAACTGACAGTGACATGTTTATAAAATAGTGTCTGCATGAACCGCTATGAAAGTTTGGAGTTTATTTTAAGATAGCAGCTGTCCAGTTTATCTGAGCGCCATTTGGACCAACTGTTAGCTTGTCAGTCATGAAAGAAATCAATTCAATTTAATTTAGTTTATGAAGATTGAATTAAACAGTGAATGGCCACTTGGGCACAATACAAAGACAAAATGACTTCAAATCCAAAATTTAATTCAGATCCACTATTTCTCCAACACGAGGTCATTTAGAAAACTTATCTACAACAGGTAAAATAATAATCCGTCATGACTTTTTTACAAGATCAAACTTGAAAATATCTGTCCCTTTAAGCTGCATACAAATCCACACACAAAAAAAAAAATCTCTAAATAATATTATATACAAAAAAGTATTGTAGATACAATAAAATTATCAAATATGTTTGATGCGGGTTTCCAAGACATTAAAAAAGAGTGTTTTACTATGACGTTAGATAAAACTGTGTCTTCACCTGCCTGACAGGGTTGAGGGTAAAGAATTGACGTCATCGGTGTGATAGCGCAAACCTCAGGACACTTAAGAGCAAGTGATTATTAGAGTGGAGATCTAAAGAGCACAACAGGTTGCACAAAGTCATATAGATCTATAGGAGCTCCCCCTTTAACAGCTTTATGTGTCATTATTAAAACTTTCAATCTTAACGTGACCAGAGAGACGGCTAAGTGAAGCACGTACAAGCGAGACACGCTCATACTCTTGTTGTTAAAGAAGCTGGGATGTTTTAAAAGCAAGGATCACTTTCAGGTAACCATTAAAATATTCTTATATATAAAAAAAAAAACAGTTCAGAAAAGCACATTATTTTAACATTGAACTCAATCTGTTTCTCAAAGTTTAAATCAGTATCATCTATACGTTTTACATGATTTCACAAAAAGGTTATATAGATCGACATGAGAGCCTCTGCAGGTATTTCTGGGACCAAAGGTCATTATTTCTGATTTAACTGCATTAAATTAGAGGAAGTTTAAAGTCGTCTAAAAATTTATTACCGTACTTGCCGTGGTACACATCGCACCGCCGTATAAGTTGCATCAGTCCAACTATGTCTAATAAAGTGAAGAAAAAAATAATAAAAACATAAATACGTCACTTCGCTGTATAAGTCGCATCTATTATGCATCATCGCTGACAACCTGGAAACATGGGCCGGTGTTGTGCCAAAAATCGATTGGCTGCCAAATCGCAGCCATGAGAGCGTGCGCGGGAGGACTTTAACAAGACTTTAACAAGACTAACACTTAAAAACAATTATTTGTTTGCACGAAATTATAGCAAAGGTTTGTCTCGATTTAACTTTTCCTTAATAAAACACTTTGATGTTCAAATCAGCTGCATTTCAAAAGCCGATTCGCTGAAGCGGGAGCATGCAGAGGGATGAGTCGCTGGGCATTTCTTCAAAATTTAACAAGATAACCACCTAAAAACCATTATTTGTTTGCTCGACATTATAGTAAAGGTGTGTCTCAGTTTAACGTTTCCTTAATAAATTCACTTTAATGGTCAAATCAGCTGCATTTCACCTGGGCAGCGCGGCGAAATGCAGCTGATTTGACGTTTGCTCCAGGAGTTTGGGAACGAGACGAAGGTGGCTTGGTATGGCAAGCCAAGTGTCTCATTAATAGCCACTTTTGCTTATTAATGAGACACTTGGCTTGCCACATTAGTCGAGGGCCCTCTAGTGGCTGAAAATGGTAGTGTTCAATATTTTCCATGTCAGAATGAATAAAATCGCCAGATCTCAGCCAAAAATTGGGTTATAAATATGAAAAAAAAAACAAAAACATAAATCCGTTGCTTCGCTGTATAAGTCACAAGCATGCTAATTTATGCAAAAAAAACTGCGACTTATACAGCAAAAATTACGGTACTTA